CTGCACCCATGTGCGAGACCTGGATGGAGTTCACGGCTTCTGGCTTCAGCCTAGCCCAGCCCCAGCCACCAGGCCATTTGGTGAGTGAACCAGCAGATGGAAGAGCTCTCCCTCTTCTCCCCAACTTCATCTTTCAATTTTTTTTTAATCCTGTAACTGTAATAAACGTAGTGTCGTCTGACCACCAACCCCACTGGAAGTTGGGAAGAAGATGCTGGCACACCTGGACACGCCCTACTGCACAGGGAATGCTCACAAGTCAGCGCCAGGGAACTCCTGAGACTGGAACAAAATGATACAGAAAAGCCAGGCTTTTAAGGCTGTAGAAATTCCATGAAAAAAAAAATGGACTGGAGAAGGAGAGAAGGACTTCATATGAGAAATGTAATAGGGATATTTAAGAGGGCAAACAGGTTCTGGTCCAGGGTGTTTCATTTCACTGCTCCTATAAATAGCCTCAGTGGTGAGTCTTCATTTCCTTCCTTCCAGGCTCGCTCTGCTGCAGGGGGACCAGAACCCTAGACACAGAGGCGTGGGCCTGATGGCCTGACCGACCAGTGCAGAGCCCTCTCTGCAGACTTCTCATTGCATACTCCACGAGGAGGGCACAATCTAAGGACACCCCAAGTACATGTGCTTATCAACACTTCAGTCACACAGAGCACCTCCAAAAGTGGGTGAAAAATGGGATGACAAAATCAGCTTATTTTGGTACAAAAATGTTTTGAAATGCATACCAGGAATCTTTAAAATATTTATGGAAAACGCCTATTATGAAAAAACTATGCCTGATTTCAAAACTGTTTAGACCTAAAGAAATGGGCAAATGGAATTAAAGTTCACTTTGCTGCAAAACAAAAACAAAACCCCAAAAAACCTTAAATCCATGCATAGTCTCAGAATGCACGTTTTTCATGAACTTTCTGAAAACCTCTCATATTAAGGACTAGCAAACTCATTTATTTTTTTAAGAAACTGACAAGGAGGGGTTGACGCTGTGTGGCATAATAGGTTAAGCCTCTGTCTATGGCGCTGGAATTCTATATGGGCGCCGGTTCTAGTCCTGGCTGTTCCTCTTCCAATCCAGCTCTATGTTAATGGTCTGGGAATGCAGTAGAAGATGGCCCAAGTGCTTGGGCCTTTGCACCCTCATGGAAGACCCAGAAAAAGCTCCTGGTTCCTGGCGTCAGATTGGCCTAACTCTGACCATTGCAGCCATTTGGGGATTGAACCAGCAGATGGAAGACCTGTCTAATCTCTGCCTCTCAAATAAATAAGTTAAAACACACACACACACACACACACACACACACAACCTGACAAGGATTAAGACTCTTTCGGCACTTTCTTCTTCTATTCAAAGCAATTGCCTCTCCCTTCAGACAACCAGAGCAACCACATCTACCCAAGCAAAGGAAGGCAGCAACACTCTATGGGAAAGAGAGGGCTGGACGGCATCCCACCGCTCTCTCCAAGGACACACCCGGGTGGGCAGATTCTGCAAGGCAAGGTGCAGCAGGTTCTCCAGCCCAGACACTCAGCGTGCCTCGCATCTCTTCGTCTCCCAGCTCATTTCCATATTCCTTTCCTTCAAGACAGCTTCACCCCGGGGACATTTCCCACCAGCCTGTGCTTTCCCGGCATCTACTCAGCCACCACCGACGACTGTCTTGATGCACTGCTGCATTCATTGAAGAGGTTCGATTTCTAATTCGTCATTTGGTTTGCATTTATTAACTGTGATTTCCCATGATTAACGACTTCTTCCTCATCAACCATTTGATTACCTTCGAATACAATCTGCACTAAAACGTCAAGATCAAGGCTGGATTTTTCATTTTTCACACTCGTGAGTTGGTGTCTGAGCAACTTAGAAAGGTGACCCGCTGATATTTGGTGGGTGTTCCTGCTTGGTGTGATCAATGTGGACTGGTAGATTTATTTTTCACTCACTGGAGTGGGTGTCCTGATACTCTAACAACCCCACTTTGGGATCTTGTTCCTTCTGATGCCACCCCAGTGGTCCTTCTTAGTCTCCTTATTTTTAAAGTTTATTTACTTGAGGAGTAGTTGGGGGGTGGGGAGGAGACAGAGAGAAATGTCTTCCATTTGCTAGTCCACTCCACAAATGGCCAGGATCTGAAGCCAGGAGAAAAGAGCTTCCTATGGGTCTCCCACATGGGTGCAGGGGCTCAAGCACTTGGGCCATCTTATACTGCTTTCCCAGGCCATAGCAGAGAGCTGGATGGGAAGAGGAGCAGCTGGGACTCAAACCAGCATCTATATAGGATGCTGGCCTCACACAGAGGCTTTACCTGCTAGGCCACAGCACTGGTCCCCTCCTGTCTTTTTTTTTTTTTTTTTTTTAATATTTTATTTAAGAGGTAGAGTTACAGACAATGAGAAGGAGAGACAGAGAGAAAGGTCTTCCATTCATTGGTTCATTCCCCAAATGGCCACAGTGGCCGGAGCTGTGCTAATCCGAAGCCAGGAGCTTCTTCTGGGTCTCCCATGTGGATCCAGGGGCCCAAGGACTGGGGCCATCTTCTATTGCTTTCCCAGGCCACAGCAGAGACCTGGATTGGAAGTGGAGCAGCCGGGACTAGAACTGGCGCCTATATGGGATGCCAGCACCACAGGTGGAGGCTTTACCTGCTGGGCCACAGCGCCGGTCCCCTCCTTGCTTTTTGACATAAGATGTCCCATCCTGAACATTTCCTGCTTCAGATCTGGCATCAGCTGTTTATCTAGGAGGTGGCTCCCGGCAGTGGACAAAGGCAATGGGGAATCCCAACCTGGCACTCATTGCCAAGGACTCTCACTGCCACTCGGCTGCTCTCCCTAGAGAACTGGGCACTTCTTTCCAGATGTTTCCTATTCAAACTGATGTTCAGTTGGCTTTCCCTACGCTCTTAAAGTACTTTCCACCTCTTCCGTATCGGAAATCTTGGTTCCTAACTCCAGCAGTTTTAAGTGACAATATAAATACTTCACACTAGGAATGGAATGTCAAAACATGTAGCTGCTTTTACTCATAGTGCTACTGGTTGCTGTTGTTTCGCCATAAGGTTCTTTAAAAAAAAATCCATCGAATATATCAATTTTTGGCTTGATGTCTGATGCATTCTTTATTTTTATTTGAGAGAGAGACAAAGAGAAAAAGAGAGAGAGATCACACATCCGCTGGTGCACTCTCCAAATGCTTGCAATGACCTGGTCTGTGCCAGGCAGAAGCCAGAACCTGGGGACTCAATACAGGTCTCCCGTGTGGGTGGCAGGGATTCAACTACTTGAGCCATTACCACGGAGCGCACATTAGCAGGAGCTGGAATTGGAACTGGGATCAGGACTCAAACCCAGGTACTCCGATATGGGATACAGGACTCTGAAACAAGTCTTAATCATTAGGCTAAATACCAGCCCCCTTGCTGACTTCTGAGTCCCAGGTAGGAAACTTATTCCCTCTCCCCAGGTTAATAGAAATTGGTTCATGATTTGGTCTTCAGTTATATTTGAAACTCTGAGTTTCTTTCAATTCAGTCAAGAAAGAGAAGGAAAACCCTCCGTCCGTGAAGAACAGAATGGGTTTGGAGGACTTCACATCCAACACTGCTGTAGAGAACTTTGCCCATGCTGGCGCATCTACTCCCCTCCACCCTGGACACAGTGAAAGGCACAGTGGACACCGGTATCATTTCATTTCACTCAACGCAACACACAGGTCACTCTGTGGTCATAATACATAGGTTATTTTGACCATCTTATCCCAGTCTCTCAAAATGACACTGCCAAGTCAGACCACAGGCTAACTCCAACCATGTCTCATCATGCTGTCAGCCATCTGTCACCTAATGAGCCAAAAATTAGTTTGGCCCCTGATCTGTGCCCTAGAGACAGGCAGCAATGGCAGGGTGACGGAGCTCCAGGAACGACACTGCTCACAACACAACCCGGCACACTCTCACCAGTCTGAGCTCCACACAACCTTTAAGCCTGAGCAGATTTTTACAGTTACTCCCCTCACTATCTGTCCTCTTTCTGAATTCTCCCTTCTCATATTGGGCACCTGAGCATTTGTCCGACACATGCTGTTATGTAATGTAAACGTGGGAAGAGGCGCGCCTGTGGGGGCTGCATAGGGGGAGAAGCAGGGTGGCATCCCTCAGGTCTTTACAAAGTACACAGATGCAGACCACAGAAGTTAACTCTAGACTGGAACCCCCATGACCACTGTGCTGGGGGCACTGGAGAACAGGGTTCTCCAACTGGAGTATTCACATTCAACACTGAACTTGCGCAAACTGTCATTTCCAGAAGTGGACTGACCTCATCTCAAGGTCTACTGACTTGCAAAGTAAATTTATTTGAGGCACAAACACTGTCCAATTTAGCTTGGCTTCAGAGTCCTCAGTTACCTATTTGGCCAGGAGGCTGGGGCAGGGAGAGAGAATTCCTAAGAGGCTCCCAGTAGGGGCCAGACAGCCCAGTACCACCACCCAGCAGAACAGAATACAAAGAAAATTGCTGTTAACAATGACACCAAGTCAGCATGAGAACAAGATTGAGCTTAAAATAGTTCCATTTTTCAAAAGGTGCAACTCTTGAGAGTTTGCTATTTAACTCATCTAGGTTTAGGTATTTGGAAAAGGAATCCACATGGACGATCTCATTCCTTTTGAATGATGCAGGGACCTAGCTGCCATCTATGTGGTAGGTGACATGTTGAGCACCTGCCAATCCAAAGGCGGCCCAAAGTCTTTCCCCAAATGCCCCCAATAACACTCAAACTGAACATTTTTTTTTTCTCCAGAATATTCCAAATTACTCACGAGGACTCTCAGTTCCCTTTTAAACAAAATAACTCAGTCATTCCCTAGGAATGAGGTTCAGCAGCACACACGCACGTGGCTTAGCATCCTGGGCACAGACCCACAGGAGATGGCAGGGGGATGTCTAGGGCCACTAACACCCTGGAAAGCACACGAAGCAGAAATACTCACGGAACATGGTGTAGAACTGCTGAGGGTTCAGATTCCACTTCCCCCAAGGGGTCTTGTGGCCTTTGGACTGGGCATAGTTAGCATGATTAAACTCTGGTTCTGTACCAAAGGAATCCAGGACTCGGAGCATGCACCTGAAAGACAGAAGCCGTCACTTGTGTGAAACCACAACCCTGACCCCACTGTCCAAAGGTAAATGTTCCAGCCCTTATTTCAAGGTCTACCAAAACCAGACGTACGTGTTTAATTAGAAATAGGACCAGCCAAGACTCAGGAGGTTTCAGTACAGCCAAACATCTACGACTGTGACTGCACAGCCCGAGCCCTCTCACACCATATAACACCTGCTCCAGGTGGGTTGACTTGAACAAGGTTAAAGAAGTTTCTAGGCCGGCACCGCGGCTCACTAGGCTAATCCTCCGCCCTGTGGCGCCGGCACACCAGGTTCTAGTCCCAGTCGGGGCACCAGATTCTGTCCTGGTTGCCCCTCTTCCAGGCCAGCTCTCTGCTGTGGCCAGGGAGTGCAGTGGAGGATGGCCCAAGTGCTTGGGCCCTGCACCCCATGGGAGACCAGGAGAAGCACCTGGCTCCTGGTTTTGGTTCAGCGCGGGGCGCCAGCCGTGGCAGCCATTGGAGGGTGAAGCAACGGCAAAGGAAGACCTTTCTCTCTGTCTCTCTCTCTCACTGTCCACTCTGCCTGTCAAATAAATAAATAAATAAATAAAAAAGAAGTTTCTAGAATGCTGCTACAGAGGACTTCCATGTTCATGGCTGTGCACTTAGCAACTAGCCAGGGCTGTGTATACAGCAGGTGCCAAACAACAGTTACTGAAGAAACAAAGATCTGCCATCTTTACAGCTATATTCTGTCTAAAGGGCATGATACGTACTATCTCTGTCAGCCATCATTCAACAATCACATCAATTAAATAGGGCATTTGATTTTGGTAAAGTGGTAAAACTCGTGTGTTTGAAACTTAATCCTAGATGGCCCAGGTCCTTGGGCCCCTGCACCCATGTGGGAGATCTGGAAGAAGTTCCTGGCTCCTGGCTCCTGGCTCCTGGCTCTGGATCGGCATAGCTCCAGCGGTTACGGCCAACTGGGGAGTGAACCAATGGATGGAAGACCTCTCTCTCTCTCTCTCTCTGCCTCTCTTTCTCACTCTGTGCAACTCTGACTTTCAAGTAAATAAATAAATCTTAAAAAAAAAAAAGAAAAAAAGAAACTTAATCTCAAAATTCAAATGGGGGCAGCATTTGGAGGTGCAGCCTTGAAAGTATCTAGAGTGAGACGAGGTCACAGGGTGGGGGGGACCCCAACCGCAGGATGAGTGGCTTTCTAAGAGGAGGAAGCAAGCCCCAAGCTACACACCTGCCCTGTCTCACCGGCTCATGCCCTGTGCTGTGTTATGACCAGGTATGGACCCCTGGATCTTGGAGTTCTCAGCCTCTAGTGCTCAGGCACATGAAATGGACTAAGATACTTTAGAATCTCATTTAAGGACAGCAGTGATCTTTATGCATCTGATAATAAAAGCAGCTTATTGCTTTCTCTCAGAGCCTAAAGAAGCCAATGGAAGCCATTTCCCCTGGCTTTCCTACCAATGCCTGACAACACAGTAAGCCCAATGTACTGTACCGCCCATTTTTGTATGGTGTGAGAGCTAAGAATGACCTCTACATTCTTAACAGTTAAAATAAAAAACAACAGTATTTTTGTCAAACATGAAAGCTATGTAAAATTCAAATTTTTCACACTCCACATTGAAGTTGGGTATTGGCAGTGTTGTGCAGGGGACTGAGCCACCACTCGGGACACCTGCCTCTCATTTAAGAGCGGCGGTTCCAGTCCCGATTCTGACCCAACTTCCAGCTAATACATACTGAGAGGCAGCACACATGGCTCTGAAGCTAGAGTCCCTGCCACCACTTGGGAGATCGGGAGGAAATTCTACAGTTCTGGGCTCCTAGCTGTGGCCTGGCCCAGCCCTCCCTTGGGTGGGCATTTGGGAAGCAAACCAGTAGATGGAAGATCTTTGTCTCTCTGTTGTTCTTGCAAATAAGCAAACATTTAGCAATGAGACAAGCTGCACTGGGATGCAGCCACACCCCCTCTGCTGGTGTACAGTCCTTGATGACTTCACAATCCAACAGCGGAGAGTCCACACATGACCCGCTAAGTCTACAGCATCTGCTGGCTGGTCCTGTGGACAAAAACCCTCAGAGCGCACCAAGAACCACCCATCAGGAGACAAGAATCCACACCGAAACAAAACAGATCGATGTTGGTGGGGCTGATTTCATGGCCGATTCTCGGCACATTGGACGGCCAATTCCAGCAGCTCCGATGCTGCGGGTACACGACTTCCACCTTTCACTGGACTGGTACACGTGCAGTAAAGACAGACTAGAGCCCACATTCTAGAATCAGATGATGTCAACAGCCTCTTGGGGTCTGCTTCAGCTTCATTCCTCCTTTCCCCACCATTACAATGTCTTTCTTCCAACTTTTTATTAACAAAAAAAAAAATATCCAAACACCAGATTTTCTGAAAAGCATAATCATGAATTGAGATTTTTGTATGCTCATTTTCTCATCAGGAATCGCTGCTGCTTGCCCAGGGAGGGAGGACAAGAGAGAGAAGGCCACGAACACAGAGGGAAAGACAAGCTGACCCCAAAAAGAACTTCCTCGTGTGGGATTCTTGAGTGGTTCTCACCCAACACTCTCTCATCACAGTGGCAACTCCCACAACATCAACAAGGGCACGGTGTTAGCTTGGCAAACGACAGACAGACAGAAATGGGAGCCCACAGTGCAGCAAAAAGAACGTCAGGCACCCAGACACCTCCTAGGGCCTATGGTCCCTACTTTCCGAGTAACTCAAAATACTTCTTACCCCTCCATAGAAAACATTCAAATAAATACATTTTGTAAAAGGAAAGACAGAGTGAGTGAGAGTGAGAGTGAGAGTGAGAGAGAGAGAGAGAGAGAGAGAGGCAGGGGTAGACAGATATTTCAACTGCTGCTTCACCTCCAAATGCCTGCAACAGCTGTGCCTGAGCCAGGCTGAAGCCAGGACTCTGCAGCTCCATCTGGGTCTCCCATGTGGGTGGCAGGGGCCCAAGTACTTAGGCCACCTTCTGCTGCTTTCCCAGTTATACTAGCAGTGAGCTGGACTGGAAGCAGGGTAGCCAGGACTCGAACTGTCACTCTGACATGGGATGTGTGAGTCCCAAGCAGCGGCTTAACACGTGCACCGAAATGTCTGCCTCCCATCCCTACCTTTTTCTTAACTTAGTTTTTATTTTTAAAATGGGATGTGAAAGGAACTGCTGGTCCAGTCTATCCTCTCCGGGGAAGACTGGCAGCCTTTCAGAAACAGCAGGGCTGTATTGAAGGTCACTGTGGGAGGAGGGAGGAAAGGGGAGCAACCTCATGGACACCACAGGATGTAGCTCCTGCCCGCTGGGGTTCACCAGCACCAGTGCCCAAGCCAAGGCCTTAGTGTTGTGCTCTGTGGAGACACCACAGGGAGCAGAGGGCTGCCAGCTGCCCTAAGAAGCCTTGCTTTGAAGGCCTTGGCTTTGTCCACATAGGGGCCATTGACTGAGTCTACATGCCCTTCCAGCTCTGGCCGGGGCCATGGTTTGAACTTCAAGTTTTATCTTTGTTAGTTTTACTTGGACAACTGGACTCCAATGACCAAGCTGACTGCTAGGGACCCATCTCCTGGGCCTGGACTTCAGCAGAGCACCCAGATGTAAGTTCCATGATGTGGGATCTCAAGGATGGACAATTCCAGTGATGGAATGTTTCTATGTCATTTTCCTTGAGGTTTTGGCTTAGGGATTGTTTTTTTTTAAAAATATTTATTTATTTGAAAGGCAGAGTTACAGAGAGGCAGAGGCAGAGGGGGAGGGGGAGGGAGAGAGGGAGAGAGATCTTCCATCCACTGGTTCACTCCCCAGATGGCCGCAATAGCTGTAGCTGTGCTGATCCGAAACCAGATGCTTCCTTCCGGTCTTCCATGCAGGTGCAGGGTCTCAAAGCCTTAGGCCATCTTCTACTGCTTTCCCAGGCCATAGCAGAGAGCTAGATGGGAAGTGGAACAGCCAGGACTTGAACAGGTACCCATAGGGGATGCCGGCCCTGCAGGCGGTGGCTTTACCTGCTACACCACAGAGGTGGCCCTGTGATTGTTTATTTTCTAGTTTATCTAGGTTTATTTTTAAAACCAGTGACAAGACACAGACCTTTTTCTATGACACAGGAAGTCTAACATTAGTTTTCCTTCATCAAGCACTCTCTCCCTCTGTGTTAGAATTGTGTTTGTATTGTTAACATTGAGGCCATCTCTGTAACACCTTCTGTGTATCTGGAGAAAAAGGAGCAGACTCCTGACTTAAGGAAGTATCTGCCTGGATGCCCAAGGCAACTGGCCTTCCTGCCATGGGCACTCCTGGAACATTCTGCTCTCCAGGACGCTACCCTAAGATTGGTGCTCACAAGCTCAGTCAAGATATACTTTCTAGTTTGAAGTTTGATGTAAAACACTGGCATGTCTTGGACTACTTATATCTTCAAGTATGAGAGTGTTTTAAAACGTTCATGGAAAGTGGAATTAAGGACAAATTTAGGGCAGGGATTTGATATAGTGGTTAAGACGCTGCTTGGATTCCCACATCCCATATCTGACTGCCTGGGGCTAAATCCAGGCTCTGTTCACTATTAAGCTTCCTGCTAATACACACCCTGGAAAGCAGCAGGTCATGGTTCAACTACTTGAGTCCAAGGCACCCATGCAGGAAGACCTGAATTGAGTTGCCAAATTCGGGCTTTGGCCAAAGTTTTGTAGGTATTTGGGGAATCAATCACTGGATCAAAGATCTGTCTTTCTTGCTGCTTTTCAAATCAGTAACACTTTAAAAAATTAAAAATAATTTGCAAGTAATTTCTCCCATTCTGTCGGTTGCCTCCTCACTTTCCTGTTTACTTTGTAGTACAGAAGCTTCTCAATTTGATGTAATCCCATTTGTTAATTTTGGCTTCTGATTTCCTTTGCCTCTGGGGTGTTTTCTAAGAACTCTTTGCCTTGCCAATGTCTTACAGGGTTTCCCCAATGTTCTCTAATGATTTGATGGTATCAGGTCATAGATTTAGGTCTTTAATCCCATTTGAATGGATTTTTGTGTAAGGTGTAAGGTAGGGGTCCTGCTTCATACTTTTGCATGTGGATATCCAGTTTTCCCAGCACCATTTGTTGAAGACACTTTCCTTGCTCCAGGGATTGGTTTTAGCTCCTTGGTCAAATTTAAGTTGCCTGTAGATGTTTGGATTGATTTCTGGTGTCTCTATTCTGTCTCATTGGTCTATCTATCAGTTTTTGTACCAGTACCAGGCTGTTTTGATTACAACTGCCCTGTAGTATGTCCTGAAATCTGGTATTGTGAGGCCTCCAGCTTTGTTTTTGTTGTATAAGATTGCTTTAGCTATTCAAGGTCTCCTGTGTTTCCATAGGAATTTCAGCATCATTTTTTCAAGATCTGAGAAGAATGTCTTTGGTATTTTGGTTGGTACACATTGAATCTGTAAACTGCTTTCAGAAGAATGGATATTCTGATGCTATTGATTCTTCCAATCTGTGAACATGGAAGATTTTTCCATTTTTTTTTTTTGGTATCTTTTTGTATTTCTTTCTTTGATGTTGTATAATTCTCATCGTAGAGATCTTTGACAATGTTGGTTAAATTTATTCCAAGGTATTTGATTTCTAGTAGCTATTGTGAATAGAATTGATCTTAAAAGTTCTTTCTCAGCCATGGCATGGTCTGTGTATACACAAAGGCTGTCAATTTTTGTGTGTCAACTTTATATCCTACTATTTTACCAAATTGCTCTATGAGTTCCGATAGTGTCTTATTGGACTCTTTTGGATCCCCTATATAAAGAGTCATGTCATCTGCAAATAGAAGTGAAACTGACACTTTGAGAAGCCATGACTTGAACAGCCCTTGTCTCAACTGTGGAGGAACAGTTTTTACTTCTTCATAGTATTTGTTGAACTCTTTACTTAACAGAGTTAATCATATGTGTATAAAGTCTATTGAAATTGATCTCAGTAAAAAATAAGAGTGGGCATAAGAAAGAGAGGAGGAAGTTTGTAACTATAAAGCTGCATAGTTCTGCATACATTCCTACAGACTTACTTCTAAGAGTACAGTTTAAAAAACTTGCCAGTGGACTCCAAATCCCATTAAGCTGGATGGTAAAAATACCATCTTAAGCATTAAAGTGATCATATAGATAGGATTAAATGTCTAGCAATAATAATAGACTCAGAATGAAAATTGCTTTAAATAGCACTCTGACCTCAAAATCAGCCCTTAAGGCATTCTAGTCTGGCTAAGAAGCCCACGAAAGCATTTCAGGCATGGAAAGCCAAGACACTGTGGCAAAAAGTGTCCTACATGAAGGATCTCTGTGAGTGAGATCTCCGTGGAAAGAAGTGGCCATCAAAGAAGGATCTATTTTTCTCTGAAGGGAGGGCAGAACTTGTACTTTGCTTATGGCCTTGTCTAAATACTAACAGAGACTGTGGGTTCAAAATGCTTCCATAGCCATGGCAGCTCATTTCAAAAGCCTTGGATGATCACTGACATCATACATAAGAGTGTTAATTATTCAATTAACAATAGGAATCACTGTGCACTTACTTCCCATTCAGGACTTCTGTCTTCATTGAGCTGTTTTATAAGAATTAACTGTAAAGCTTGTTCTGAAACAGTTGTGTGTGTGTGTGCGCGCACATACACAAACTGTTGAAATCTTTACTTAATATAGAGTTGGTCTTCTATGTATAAAGTTAATTGAAAATGAATCTTAATGGAGAATGGGGCTTGAATGTGAGAGGGAGTAGGAGGAGGGATGGGAATGAGGATGGGAAGGTGGGTATGGTGGGAAGAACCACTATATTCCTAAAATTCACTTATGAAATTTGTACTCCTTAAATAAAAGGTTTATTTGAGAAAAAATAAATTAAAAATAAATAAAACTTATTTTGGTGTAAATGTCAAACCCAGGCAGTTTTGTCACAATATGCTTTTTTCATACATTTACTTACTAACTCATGTGTGGCCTCAATGCTCAGCAAAGACCTCACATGAAATAAAAAGGTTGTGAGTTACTCAGTACCTTGAAGAATAGCTTCATATAGGTATTCAGTAAGTGTCTAATTGACTTTCCAGGGTCCCTCTGTAAATTGGGTAGAATTTCCCAATAACTCTCCAAGATCAACAGGACTCAAGCCTTCGCTCCTAATGACAACATTACATTTAGTGGGACACATACCATCTCCCAAAAGGAATACAGAGCCCTGGCAATTTCTAATTTCTAAAGGCAAAAGAAATGAGCTAGCAACTTTCTAGAGGACCTCTTGGCCTTGTGATGGAATCTTAGCTTCATCACAGCACAGAGGCTGCAGGGCTGGAACACTAACAGACCTCCTGCCAGCTAATACCACTAGCATTGACCATTTAGTAAAGACAGGCAGACAAAATAGAACACTCTTCCACAAAACTCCCTCTGAGATGGTGCCTTTTCTTCCAACAAGAATCAAATGCCAATCAACGGCAACCATTTTAATAATGACAGCATCCCTGTAATTGACCTGAGGACTACCACCGAGAATATTCTCCTGTCCAAACAGCCCTTCTTATGTGAGTGCTGGGAGGTCCCTACTGCCCAGCTTCCTCTGCACATTAATCAGAGGTCTGCCATTCAAAAAATGCCAGAAAACAGCTCTACCAGTTTTTTTTTTTTTTTTTTCAAGTTGAGCTGCTTAAAAAAAAAAGTAGTATTTATGTCTTGGCCTATTAACCAGCAATAAAGATGGTTACTTCCACATAACTAAGAAAAACAAATTTGATAGTCCATGATTCATGAAGAGTTAAAGCAGCAGACAAACCAAAGCACAGGAAAAAGCTGATGTCAGAGGTAGATTGTTATCCTGGCCCAAAACAAATTTTAAAGTTGGCTTTTTTTTTTTTTTTTAGTGGCGCTGTAGGACTATGCTGTTTACTTTTCCTATCAATCTCAATGCCTTTGCTTAAGCTATGAGCTCACTGCTGAATGAAAAATTTCTTGCTGCTGCAAAGATGATCTCACAGGAATTCACAGACCGGGCTTTTCTCTCTAAGCTCCCCCACCTCTGGTTTTGAGAAGATGCCGAATATTTTCAATTTTCACTTCTGTTTAAATTCTAAAGGAACTCCAACCTCACATACCTGGGGGCTGAAGTTAATCAGATTAAACTGTACCCTGAGCGAGGAGGACCTAGCTTAGGCCATTAGAACTCACTGAATGGTTACGTTGGAACGTCACATCAACCTCTTTTCTCAATAACAGGAAAGAAATACGTGCAAAGATTTCCGAGCCCAAATAACCAAAAGATTTTTAGAGTGTTATTTTAGAACTAAACACTGTTCAAGCCGTTATAGCCAACATGTACTATCAACTGGTACATTGTTTACCAAGTCTTCAAGGTTTTCACCCAATTTCAAGTATTATTACACTACTAAAATACCATCTTTGTTTAGATTTATTCACCTTTATGATAATTTTTATAGACTACAAATAAAAGCAATATCAACTGTGATAAACAGCAGATAGCCAAACACGAACACATGACACTTCTTTGAAAAATATTATTATTGGCAGCTTCTACCCGTTGCAACAGGTTAAGTTGCCGCATGTGGTGCTGGCATCCCACGTTAGTGCCAGTTCAAATCCGGCTGCTCCACTCCCAGTGCAGCTCCATGGTATCGCGCCTGGGAGAGCAGCACAAGACGGCCCACGTGCTTGGGCCCCTGCACTCATGTGGGAGACCTGGACAGCCTTCATGGCTCCTACCTTTAGCCTGGCTCAGGCCACGGTCAACATTGTGGCCATTTGGGGAGTGAACCAGCAGATGGGCTCTCGCTCCGTCTCTCCCTCTAACTCTTTCAACTAAACAAACATTTAAAAAGCATCATCATTAAATTCAAACTTTATGCCTTTGCCTGCTGAAGGTGGAGGCTTTGTCAAACCTGCCTGCCAGTACTGAAGACACAGAGAGCAGCAGTAAACCAGCCTTTTCTCACAAAGATGGAAAGGATGGAAAGCAGGCTACCACATTTCAAAATGTAATTCGATGTCATTTAGTGTTCCATCTGTGTACTATGGAAAAACCGTTCGAGAACTGAATCAGGATCTCAAACCCACATCCAAGGAAAGGCTCAGCTACTCAACTAAGTAACAGCACACATGCCCCATGGTCATACTACCCATGGGTTTGTCTTGAAAAGCCCAAGACCTCAGCACGCAGACGTGGGATCCCAGCTCTCCCGCTTTGGAGAATGACAAGAATACTGATGAAGGAAAAGGTAACAGAAATAAAGCATCATGCCCAATCTGAGGACCATGAGAAATGACACTGTCATATTTTATCAGAATCCTTATTTGATTAAGCAGATGAGACTGGTGTGGGCAGAGGGAACACTAAGGAACAGGGCAGGTATAAAGGAGGCTGGACGCTTGTTCTGTTTTCAAGAAATCAATGAAAATAACAAATGGCCCTGGTAGAAAGTCACTGGGAAGAATGTGAATTTCAATTAGGAAAGATAAATGCCCTCCATACAGTTGAAAAGATGACATTTGATAAGCGTTTTCTGCCTGCAACCATGCAACCCGTATGAACAAAAAAGAGCTGAAAACGTAAGTAAGAACAGCATGTGGGACTTACTGGTAATGAACCCAGGACGGTCCAAGGGTTTTCTTGAATTGGGCGAGTCCTACAATATCAATATAAATGAGCTCCACGATTCTGTCTCCTACAGTCGGGCAGCCAGATCGGTTTCCTACAACTTTCTTCATTATTCTAGGGAAAAGGCAGAAGAGAGAGGTTAAAAAGGACATCATTTAGTCTGAGACATTATATGTGCCAACTTGAACAGACACATCACCATCCTCCAGATCCTTCTTGGGGATGCCAGCCTGGCCCCTCCCAATCTGCTACCTATTCAAACTCAGAGCCAACCCTGGGCGCTGATTCCAACTCTTGAAAAAGCAAATGGTGAGTACAAACACAGCCTTTAAAACCAACTTGGGTGTGAATTCACCTCCACTCCGTAATGGCTGTGCTACCGTGGACGAATTACTTCATCTCTCTGAATCTTTCACTTCCTTACCCTCCAGAACAAAGAAGAATTGGGTACAAAGATAATATCCTTCTTCCTTTTTTACTGATCCAACACCTCTTTCTAGCAATGTTTGCAATTCCTGACCTCTAGAGTACTGTTTCTTTCTGTACTCTCTTGCAGTGTCCCCTAGTTTTTCTCCTACTCAAAGAGTTCTTTCCATCTAGACACTATTACACAACCAGCACCGAACACAAGAGACTTCTTTGGGAGCCAAGGTCATATACAACACCATAGGAGCAGGATGAGACATGCGTGATTTCAACACCCCTCTCATCTCTAGAGTGTTCACTCTAGGGATTTTTTTCTGGAAATACTGGACACACCCTTTGTCCCACCCACCATCCACCCATCCAGAAATACAAAAGCACCCCAGCACTCAGAGAGTGACCATGCACTTGACAGTACACCAACTTCACGTGGGGCAGTTAGGAACAACTCCTCACACTGCCATTCGCTCAGAAACCAGTCGTCAGTGTGGCCTCAAATCCTGACTCAAACCCCACAGGAATCCTTCACCAGGCTGTGGACATCCTACCCAGAAGTTCAAGAGTCACCCACAGGACTCCGAGTTCCCGGCTCCGTACAGGGCCACCTCAGGCCCCCTTCTCCCTCTCTTCTGGGTTTCCAAGATTTAAGAGCTCTTTAGGACCACTTTCTTCCCAAGAAGAGATTTTGTGTAAAGGGGCAGAAAAGTTTGTGTAACAGGGCAGAAAAATGAACTACTTTAATTGTCACGGGTCATGTTTTCTGTGTTCTGACTGCTCAGCTCTGTCACTGGCATAGACAAGAAGCTATGGATGTGGCTGTGTTCCCACAAACTGCTGAGCCCAGTGTGTTGACCACAGGGCCGCCCTGTGTCTGGGGGTTCCCAGTCCTGTCCGTCCCTTGGCGTACCTGGGCCATCAGAGCATAATAGGCTGTGTCCTACCCCAGAGCTGGTGCTTTCACTGAGGCTATAGACTGCACATGGCCATCTACAAAGATCCCAAACTTCAAATAAAACTGAAAACGAGACCCCTGGGTGATTCTAACATGCAAGCAGATTGGGGGACCACTGTTCTACATTGCTTCCCATGACTTACCTTCAATAAAACACATTCAGTCCTGGTCTCAATGTGCAAAGAGCTCTTACAGATGTTTCCTTCATCATTGCACAAAGGGTCGGCTCAATGAACCCCTACTATGCCTTTCCTGATCTCCCCACTTGTCACTCGTCCCTGAGACTGCCACAGTACTCCATTTGTTCACACACCCACTCATTCATTCAATAAACAGTTACATGAGCAGCCACAGTGTTCTATGTCCTATGTGATAACCAGAGTGAATAATACTGCTTCCTGCACCCTGTGCTTACATCCCAGCATCTATACCTCAGTTAGCACTAACAGAACTGTAATTTGCATAATTACGCTGTCATACATTAGTTGTAATTATCAACAGACTGCAAGCCCCTTGACCACATGCTAGTCACTTGTGTATGTCCCGTACAGAAAGCATGGCCATGGAAGGTACTGAATGACCAAGTGCAAAGCCTATGAATGCATCCTCTTCAGCGATGGTGTGCCTACCCCACCCATGTGTGTTCAAGCAAGCAGGAGGCAGCTCTTGAGAGGAACAGAGTGGTGACTATGTGTGCAGAAGACCTCAGCCCTGAAAGGAGCCACAGATCTGTGGTGACAGTCAGTAGACACAGAGCTGAAACCCAGGCTTCCCACACACTATCCATGTTACAGCCAACAACTCCTTGCCGGTTTACCTTTAAAATGCTGACAGTGGCAGCACCAATGTGGAGGTGGTAAGGGTTCAATAAAACACTTTGAAGTGCTCATATCTGGCAAGCAGTAAGCAGTCAACAAAGGCTAACTGTAAGAGTCCTCATCACCATTATGGCGGTCACAGTGTTGATACCACTGTGGGAACTGCGGCCTTTATTATGGTGCCTGGCATAGGAAAATCATGAACAAGTGATGGCTGGTGTTACTCTTTTTATCTCAACACACCACTGCCCAGCAAGTGTGCATCCTGGACCTAACACGTGTGGCCTCTCTGGGTCTACACAATATAAGAGGAACAGGGTGGGATATATTTGGTTAGAACATCCCTCTCATTTCCAGAATGCTCACCTAGCAATTTTATCTGGAAATATTTGACGAATAGTTGACAAAATACACAGTAACCTGGTTGTCGGGTAGAAAGTCTCCATGGGCAGTTATCCAAGAGTGAAGGGGAGCTGAGTTCCTGCTCAGCCAGCTGTGTCAATCGGAGAGGGATTAAAAGGCTACAAATATCAGTGCTATAGAAAACCCAGGTAGAGGTACCAGACTTGGAGTTGGAAGTTGGCTAATTGAAAAGGGACTGGATCCGGGCCTTTAGGAAACTCATTTTTATCCAAATTAAATTATAAACAGGAACCTGCCCTGTTTTCAGATTTGAAAAGCTTGATGTTGAGTAGGCAATGGTATGAATTGCACCAAGAGACAGGGAATTAGCAAAGTCAATAATGTCTTGTGCTGCAGATGTTGGAAGCACCTGTAACAGCAAAGAATAAGCTCCTTAGTTTGCATTTTCTGGCATTCATTTATGAAGCCTCGGGAGCCTGCAGCTACAATGAAAACATATTATCCTTTTCACAGTGTATGTATTTAGCTCCTGAAAATAATCTTCTTATCTCCTGTTTAGTGAATTATCACTTTCATTTTCCTCCACAAGAAATTACACACTAATAGAGGGCTTTAAGAGTTTACAATTTCTTTTGTGTATTCAGATTTTAAAATTGAAAAGTAATCTCCTTACTCCTTGAGCTCAGCCAGTGAAGCTGAAATCCTAATGTCATGGCCCAGTAAGTACAGGGATGTAATTAAATCACTCCACTGAACTAATTCACCAAGAGGGCCACCGCTGAATGCTGTCTCTGCGATCTTAAATCCAGATTCCTTGGTCAGGAGGCCCAGGTGAACCAGCACCTGGAAAACAAAAAAGAGGCATATTCTGAGCCGCACACAACCAAGTACACACTCTGCAGTAATGCACCAAAAAGCAGCCAACAGACTCCAAAGTCATGCTTAAACTCTAAGGGAAGATAGTGTGAGATGAACTGTTTTCCTAAAAGGTACAAAGGAGGGAAGGGAATCATTTTTAAAAATTGTTTTTCTTTCAAAGTTAGAGAGAAACAGAGACCAAGAGAAAGCAAATTTTCATCCATTGGTTTATTTCCTGAATGAACCACAGTGCCCAGGGCTTGGCTGTGCCAATGCCAGGAGCCAGGAACTCAATGTGGGTCTCGCACGTGGTTAGTGGAAACCTCAATACTTGACCCATCACCTTCTGCTTCCCACAGTATGCACTAGCAGGAAGCTGGAGTCAGGAGCAGGAGCCAGGACTCAAAACCAGGAACTTTGATGTGGATCCTGGCATCTTAAGTATAGAAATAGCATCATTATTGCACTTGGTACAGCTATGAGCAAAAGGTCCGGTGATAACACTGCTTTTAATACTCAGAGAATATCTGTAAAATCGGAATTAAAGGAAAGTCAACCTGGATAATATAGTATCTTTGAAAAATACTGGGCATTTTCCCACAGATGGAGTATTTCTAATCTTCTACCATGGCAAATTTCCAGTGCACAGAAAGCAGACATCACAATACAGACAGTCCTCATGTACTGACCACATAGCTTCAGTAATCTCATGCCTAATCTTATTCTACACCCTTCATTTCCTCCCAGCTGCTCCAGATTAGCTTGAAGCATATTCTAGACATCATGTCCTGTCTCTGTAGATATTTCAGCATGTATCTCTAAAACAAACAAACCTTTGCTTAAAAAACACAGCCACAACACTACTCTTTTCCCTAGAGAAGCCAATTCCTTAGTATCACCCAATATCTGCTTAGTGTTCACACTTAAACTCTCTTAATTTCTTAAGTGCAGCTGTGTGATTCAGAAGTCCAAGCACATCCACTGTAGTTCCTTATCCTTCTTTAACATACACAGTCCCCCATCACTTTTTTCCTAAGAGAGGATGTATAATTTATCAAAGACATTGGCTTGTATTTCCAATATGGTTTCCTACAATCTGGATTTTGTTGATGGTGATCCTCGGGCAATAGATTCTTCAATCCCTGGCAGTAAATTAATAATTGTATCTACAGACGTGACCATGTTTTAACTCAGAATTTTTTTGGTATCAACTTTCTAAGTGGTGCTATGGGAACATGTCTTGTATCTGGGCATGTTAGCAGCCAATGATAACCACTAACAAGAACTAATAATCCATCAGGGGTTGGTTGCAAAAGCATAGTATCTGATCATCCCTTCTTTACTCCTTAGCTGGGAACATTTCAGTGAAGAGCAACTACCCCTTACTGATGCCTGGGTCACCCTGAGGGGCAGTTTACAGAAAATTGGCCTGCTAAAAACTTTATGCTTCTCTTTACCAGTTTTTAGAACTACAAATTGTTCTCTAGCGTACTCTAATGATGATCTACCATCTCTTTGGTTCTTTAATTATAAAACCAAATCATGGATATAAGCATATTTCATGTGTTTCAATAAATCCCAGTCATTAGCCTCACGGAGTATCCAACTGTCTGAGAAGCCATTTAAACTGGCTTCTTAGCTCTTAGGTAAGACATGATATTTTAAGCTCACCCTACATAACTTCTGTCTCAAATGAGCCATTTTCCCAATAGCTTCTTATACCACCTAGCGTAAACAGCATTTAAAGATTCTGGAAAATTCTGGAGCTCAGGGGTCCCTAATTAATTCAGTATTTGTAGGCCCTTTCAGTAGCCATACCTAGGAAATTTACTTTTCCTCAAAGATTAAATAAATCATGAGATCCTACCAATATTTCCAATGTAAATTCAGAATTACAGCATTCTCACATAACACTTGGTTATTTCAAGCCTCCTACACTGAAAAAAATCAACTTTCTCAAAGACACTACATCATTACTCATTTATTTCCCAATATTCACAACAGATTCAGAATGGGACTATCAATACTGTAACAAATCGCACAATTGGTCAAGTAACACACTGGTGTAGTCCTTTTCGCCTGTCACAATATCCCAACAGAAATGTTCCATTTTATGTGTTCTAAAGGCCAGAAGACGAGTCCTCTCTGTGTGCTCACATCTGAACTGGATGGATGTATAGTCAGGTCATTTGTTCCCCTTTCCTTGTGCTTTTTAGGTATGGCACTTTTTTGTTTTTGGCAATTAAATTTTCTTTAATTATTAACATAAAACAGTTCCAGGGTCAATGTACAAAATAAGGTATTTCCAGACAAACCCAGATTCCATAGCTGTCTTCTCCCTGCAATTCCCTCTCTTCCATTTGCCCATTTTTAACTTAGTGTGGTAAAATGCACACAACATAAAACTTCCCATGTGCGGGCCGGTGCCGTGGCTCAATAGGCTAATCCTCCACCTTGCGGCGCCGGCACACCGGGTTCTAGTCCCGGTCGGGGCGCCGGATTCTGTCCCGGTTGCCCCTCTTGCAGGCCAGCTCTCTGCTGTGGCCAGGGAGTGCAGTGGAGGATGGCCCAGGTGCTTGGGCCCTGCACCCCATGGGAGACCAGGATAAGCACCTGGATCCTGGCTCCTGCCATCGGATCAGCGCGGTGCGCCGGCTGCAGCGGCGGCCATTGGAGGGTGAACCAACGGCAAAGGAAGACCTTTCTCTCTCTGTCTCTCTCTCTCACTGTCCACTCTGCCTGTCAAAAATAAAAAAAATTAAAAAAAAATAAAAAAAAATAATAAAACTTCCCATGTTGAGGGTACACATCAGTAGCACTAAGTACACTCACACGGTGCAACCATCACCACCATCCTTCTTTTTAATTCCATGGTTTATCTTTCCATTTAAAAAAATACTAACAAGAAACATTTATCTTATATGAGTATATGTAGATATTTATTTGTATATGTAAATACAGATATATATGTTCTCTCTCTTGGGGCCCATGCTGTGGCATAGCGGGTAAAGCTGCCACCTGCAGTGCCAGCATCCCATATTGGCTCCATTTCGAGTCTCGGTTGCTCCTCTTCCAATCCAGCTCTCTGCTATGGCCTGGGAAAGTAGCAGATGGCCCAAGTCTTTGGGCCCCTGCAACCATGTGGGAGACCCGGAAGAAGCTCCTGGCTTTGGATCGGCACAGCTCCAGCCATTGAGGCCAACTGGGAGTGAACCAGTGGATGGAAGACCTCTCACTTTCTGCCTCTCCTTCTCTCTCTGTGTAACTCTTTCAAGCAAAATAAATTTTTTAAAGAAAAATTTTAAAAAAGTATTCTTTTAAAAATAATGTACACTATTCTTCAACTGACATATTTTAACCTAACCGTAAATCCTGTACATTACTCCACTGGATTATTAAGAATTTTTTAACCTCTTTTTACAGCTCACATGCCCCAGATGACCACAGGCTCTTTCATACGACGACTATTTGGTGCCAGAATGTTTGGTCCTGCTGTCTCAGACAAGGTTTCCAAGCAAAACGGATCCATCAAACTGTGACACGGGATGCAGGAAGTCTATTTTCATGACAGGACTTCAGAAAGTTTGGGGAAGAGTGGAGTTAAAAGGTCAGATATTCTTGGTGTAAAAAATTCTGAAATCTGTGCATTCAGCGGGGTTTTTTAAAAATTCATATGAAAAATGTGTATTAGAAAAAAACTGTGCCTAGCTTTGGATTTTTTTTTTTGCACCAAAATAAAATAGGTCAATCCCATCTTCCATGAACTTTTTGAAACTCCTTCAATTTTTCTTTTTCAAAAGGTAACACATTCATCAGTTTAGGAATCCCAAACTCATTTCTATGTTCTTGGAAGAGGGAACAAGCTGTTTACTTTGCTCAGTTCTGATATCAGAACAGTTTACCTACAGCCAAGTCACTTACTCTATCACTAATAACTTAGACGATCTTGTCCGCCTAGAGGTATTCTGGAGGTTTTCCAAGCATCTCCTTATGAATTTAAAACAAACTGGCTCAAGTTTAATACAGCATCTCTGTCCTGGCAACGTAAGCAGAGGCACTAACCAGGCAGAGCCATTAACAACTCACAGGCCATCCAAAGCCCAAGGCTGACAAACAACAAAAATCTGCATTTGTGGGCTGGTGCTGTGCCACAGTGGGTGGGACCACCGCCTGCAATGCCGGCATCCCATCCTGGCCCGGTTCGAGTCCCGGCTGCTCCATTTCTTATCCAGCTCTCTGCTATGGCTTGGGAAAGCACTGGAAGACAGCCCAAGTCCTTGGGCCCCTGCACTCGCATGGAAGACTGGAAGAAACTCCTGGCTCCGGATCGGCCAAGCTCTGGCTGTTGTGGCCATGAGGGGAGTGAGCCAGCGGATTGAAGACCTCTCTCTCCATCTCTGCCTCTTTGTAACTCTGCCTTTCAAATAAATAAAGTAATCTTTAAAATTTTTTTAAAAAATTCTGTATTTGTCCCAATGATGTTATATAAAGTTCTAGAAGGCTGGATTCAGGTGAATGAGAAAAAGGTTGCTGTTAGTCTGACAGAGACAGTTAGGTGGGTCAAAGGACAATCTCGCACCACCAATACCTTGTTAGCATCATCCAAGAAGCTTCACTGGGCACCTGCCAAGGAAGAGCAACTGGGGACAGCAAACCCAAAAGCGATTGTACTACAGACTAAGCAGGTTCACCCCACAAGACTACCACCAGAGACAGGCTGTTTCTCAAGCAAAAATCACATTTTCAAAGCAAACTGGCATCTCACGGAACCGAATTAGTAAGGAACCCACTTTCTTCCGCTTTCTCTTTTCAAGATTCTGCTTTTCCGCCAGCGATCTGATCGCTTGGATCCACGCGTCAGCCATGCGCCGGATCCGCAGTCTCATCCACCGGAACTCTTCATGCTTTTTCATCATACTGTAGAGAATATTAAAATCTGTCCGAATTTCTGCCTGGAAACAGAAAGTTCATAAAATGAATAGAAGATAAAAAGCCAGCAAGCATAATGGTTTTCATGATGTGACATTTGAAAACTTGAAAGAGACTGTCAATTAAATCCAGGGCTTTGAGAGAGAGAGTCCCGTCGGCTGCACAGCTTTCACTTATGGGTCCCAGCATTGCAAATGAAAGCAGGGACTCCAGACAGCTGCTCTGCTGCAAGGGACATCATTAGAAAATTAGAAATCAAGAGAGGCAGCACAGTCACTGCAAAGCCTTGAGCTACGTTCAAGTTCAATTTTTACGACGAGTGTGCTTGATGTACCTTGAAATTCTCTGGGTCCAAATTTACGGTGCCACTTGGCTCTACGGCCAGGCAGTCAACTCCTGGGAAAACTGAAATCAATTCTTAATGGGATACCAGAGACATCGCGCAGGATGCCAGCAAGGCTCTTTCTGTCCACAGAGATAAATACGGAAATACACGCTCGTGTTTTGTCCCATTCCAAACAAACAGACACTCATAATTTGCTAATGAAGTTAAAGGGCAGGAATACAGTTTTGCCACCACAGCTGAACACAATTTAAAATACAGACCAGAATAATTGAAAAGCCTTGCAGAATTTTTTTCCTAATAAGCTGGATAGCCTAGCTGGATACATGCAGTGACTGGAAGAACTGAGACAAAAGATAATAGCACGATTTATTTCACAGAACACCCTAACCACACGGAATCTAACTTTCAGCAGTTCAACACAGGTCTTTCTGAAAAGTCCCCTTTCCTGGATTGAATGATTTTTCCACGATCCCCAGTCAATAGCATGGGTCAGCAAGCTACCGTCCTTGGGCCAAATCCTCCTCATTGCCTATTTGTGCATAAAGTTGTATTGGCATACAGCCACACCCCTTAACTTACAGACCGTCTCTGGCTGCTGAAATGGCAAAACCGGCCTGCCACAATGGAAACATTTATTATCTGGAGAGCAAAGGTTTGCTGATCCTTGGCCCGAAGAATAAAGGCTTAGGCACTCAATGTGGTGTAAAAAGCTTCTCACAGCCCTGTGCTAACTTTTCCGGCGTCCTCTGGCTTGTCCCATGGAACCACACTCTAGGATACCAAGCTTCCACTTCCCTGTCAGAAGCACCCTTCTCTTCTCAATTCCGTATCAACTCACCCATCCTTTTAAATCCAGCTCCAGCATCATTCCTATGTATGCAACCCACTCTGACCCTGACGGCTGAGATGGCCTCTTCTTAATTGGTGGGCGTGGCAGCACATGATAGACCACACGGCCATCCTTTACAACCACACCCTCATTAGCTAACCCAGGGTTTCCATGTGTGGTACCAGCTCCCATTCCTATCAGTAGCTCAGCAGTTAGATCCCTTAGAGAATCGCTCAGTAAATAAACCTATGCCCAATGGTTGAATGCTGTGGTCACTCAAACTTCCACAGGACTGGTAGAAGAAGTCCTTCAGTTCAACACTGCTTGTGATGACAGATGGCACTTCTAGAAGAGTGCACACCTCTCATTCAGGGTCTGACGCCAATGCACACGGCAAGCAAGAACTTTCCCAAATCACTCACCAATGAATTATGATCAGCTTCTTCATAGGGATTTTTTGCTCTCCAAGGTAAATGAGGACACCAATTTTCAACCTGAAAAAACAGACATTGGTGACACTAAGTATGCTGGTCCACGTATGAATGAGTCAACGTATACACAACGCATCAAGAGCGGTTCACAAGGAGCCCTCTGTGAACGCGGGCTTTGCTATCGGCCCAACTTTCACGCTTGCAGACAGAGAATTCAGATCCGGGTGCCCTGTCAGACAAGGTAACAACCATGACAACCGTGGAGGCTCAGAAGGAACATGGGATCACCTGCACACCCATCCTCCCCGGGGACTTCTCAGCGACAGTTCCTTAAGCATTCAATCCTCACACTTGCAGACCACCAAGAAGGGGGTTTTATAGAAGAAATGAAAAAGACATGAATGCGGCTGCAAGGGCATAAACAGGGAAAGGTCCCTGTGTGACTATTTAGCAAACAGACAGCAACGATCTGGTATCCTCCATGACACAGCTGAGAGTTTAAGAGTGTGCAGGACATCCTGGGTCGGGGGTAGCATCGCTGAGGCAGCAGGGCTGTGCAGGTGACCATAGCCCCCCGGGTCAGTGGAGCACAGTCAGGCAAGGTTTGCTCTCTAGGTCCACATGAGCTTTCCAAGAAACATGTCAGTTGCACCAATCTAGAAATTACTCATAATGCAAGGTCAATTTTACTAGGACTAGAAATAATTGGTGTGATTTGCATAAAGTCATTTGCAATTGCAAATCTGAAAGCAATGAGCAGAGGCCTGCGAAGCTTGGGGAGGGCAGAGACCCTGGATGGGAAAAGCTCACTATTCTTCTCCTACAGGAGACTGAAGGGAGACATTTGCCATGTTTGGGAATGACTTTGCAGTTTCCAAAGGACTCTCCATAGGGAAGGCTGAAATGACTTTTACTCATCAATAAAGAAAACTCTAACTTGCACGATCTTATAACCTTACAGCAACATGACCACACAAGACACTAACTGGAGCGCAGCAAATGGAAAAACGTCTGAAAAGACACGTGCGATGGCCAGCGCATCAGCTGGCCCCGGCAGCACCACACACATCTCACTTTCTCAGGGCGGACCAAATTATTTAGCTTCAATTACATTTTTGTAAACGGTCTCAATAAGGCATCTCTATAACACATGTTCATTATATGAAGTCTTGAAAAGGATTGCAGTGTTGACATAAGATCTTCAACCTCTAAGGAAAAAAAGTGGGTGGGATGAGCGAGCAAGGCACAGAGATGAAACAAACTCGGTGCTAAATAACCATGGTGATGTAGCAGCCCATCAAGATTTAAAAAAAAAATCCTCATGGATATAGCCTAATGGGGAAAGATGAAACAAGCCTATGAACAGAGAAATCAGAGAAAAGGAAGATGTTACTGAGACCAGGTACTGACAAAGCAAGTTACTAACAAGAGTCTCCATGATCTGCTGATGTGTGGGGAGCAACTGAGGCTAGACTAAGTTACTGGAATTAAGACTTATTCTATGTATCTGCTCTCCCACAATATGGCGCTGGGGAGGAGTAAACTTCTACGCAGCTGCCTCTCGCCAATTTGACTGATGAGCTGCAGGAGCTGATCTTGCTCCTGATTGGAGGAGAGCAGCATGCTCAGCGTGTGGGTAGCAGAGTTGGGATTGGTGGAAGAGGACTATAAAGGAGGAGAGAGACAACATGCACCAGGAACATCTGAGGGGAACACCTGAAGAACATCTGAGCAGCCCCTGAGAGAGCCGCGGAAGCAGGGAAAGCGGGGAAAGCGGGGAAAGCCGGGGGGGGGGGGGGGGGGGGGGGGACGGGACCCGCTTCCACGGAGGTGGAGGGGCTGGCAGCTAACCCGGGACGGTGTCGTTCCTCCGTGAGTGAGGGAATGGCAGCTAACCTGGGAAGAGCTGGGCAGAAAGAACAGCGCAGGGTCTAGTGTCGTTCCTCCGCGAATGGGGGAGTGACACTGATGAAAATAGAATCTGAGGCGATCACCTAAAATCTAACTTCCCTAGGGAATCCTCAAGACTGTCATACCTCCTTGAAGCTGGGCATTTGTCTTAGTTCTTCTTACTCTTAACTACTGGCTACTACTCTGCAAGGCTCCAACGGCATTCTTGCAAATGCAGATAATACAGTTGGTCCCATTTAGCTTTTACCAAGAAGTTTCACTGTTGCCCACGCATGCCCCACGGTGGAAAAAATCAATGATGGACAACTTAACTCAGAAGGGGAGGGCGGGCTGGGAAGGCTGTTTAGGTACACAGTGATAGGATAACTGGTTAACAAAATAATTCAATTCCATGTAAACCAATTACCCCCTGGGGAGAAGGAACACACAACAAAGCATTTCTTTTCTTCCTGAAACCTCAGAGGATTACCAGGGCTGGAAGCCAGCCAGCACAGGCAGTCCTGGCCAGCATGGAAACAAGCAGCCTCCGATAGGCACCATTCTCCTAAGAGCACCAGTAGTAACACTCAGCCAAGATCTTGCTGAGGGCTCAGAGCTCGGCTTCCTAATCCCCATGTTTTTTGTCTCATCTGTCCAGACGCCCTCACCTCCACTGCTATAAAATCCTGTCAATAAAGGAAACCCCAGAGGGAGCCCACCACCTTGCTGACCTGGAAGCACTTGGACAAGTTCGTGGAAAATGCAATTAAAACATTTGCTTATTTTGGTGAAAAAAATGTATTTTTTAAATTCATGCACTCAAGAGTATTTAAAAAATACTCATGGAAAATGCATATTATAAAAAACTATGGTTAGGTTTCAAAATTTTTTGCATGAACTTAGATTTAGTTTTTAATTATATTTTTCCATCAACTTCTGGAAGTTGTCTTGTGTTTCAAATTGTTCCGAGCAGCTCCCTCTTCTGTAGCACTCAAGATTTCAGCATCCTACACCTGCAGGTGGCCATCTTCCTTCCCCTACTGCCTGGGACACGTTTTTCCCAGCTGTGACCCTGGGAGTTCTCTCCCTGGGGCCAAGACTTTGAATTTGCCCTCAGTGCAAGGACACCCTGGCCTCCCCTGCCCACCCAACCACCCCACTGTCTACCCCATCTCTGCTCTGATGGGCTGGGCAAGCTCTCAAGTCGTCTGCCAGGGAAGAGATCGGATGTCCTACAAGTACTATAATTCACGGTAGTAAGTACGAGAATAGCAAAATGCCCGAGTTCACAGCAACTCGCACGCAGCAGTCGATAGAGGCGCAGCACCATTACTCTAACATCCTTCGATTTGAAGGCACAACTCCTGAGACAGGAGCTCATCTTCTCAGGGCACTCGCCTCAGGCCACAAAATCAAGAGGCAGCAGAAACAGACCACGCACAGCCAGGCTGGAACTTAGAACATTCATGCATATTCCACAGAGAGACGGCCTACAAATCATTTTTCGTCAACAAGGGGATATAAAAAGACCATTCCGTTTGTGACATACCGCTTCCCAGTGATTTAACCTTCTCTGAACTTGAAAGGTTCTGCAGCTTCATCACGAGCATGGTGAATCCAGGCATTCTCTGAAATCCTAAAGGGTCTTACTAGTTCTTTTCCAGGTCCACATGAAGAATGAGTCATTACATTTAAGGAAAAAGAAATCATGCATACATACAGGTACCTCATCCAGCTCAAGTAGGAATTTAAAGGTCCAAAGAGGAAGTGTCAAAATTTACTGCAGGCTTGTAATATTCCATGTTCTCTAGAAACAAATTCAAAAAAAAAACTTGCACGCATTCCATCACTTCACCTCCTAAGACCCCTATGCCATGGTTATGGTTTGGATGTGAGTTTGGCTGTTCAGCATCCCCTCGTAGGTCCATAAGTTAGAGGTTAGTTCCTCGTCTTAGGTTAGTGCTACTAAGATGGTAGCAACCTAATTCAATCACAGTATTAGTAGGTGAGACCTTTGAGGGGTGATTGCATTGGGTTAGGTTGTTAGGGTGTGGCTCCCAGGATGAAATCCCCTGACTTTACAAAGACACAGGCAGGCACCTGCTCCCAGCTTCCTGCTTCTCACACTCTGCCACTGCTGTCTGCCACACCCGAGACCACACCAAGGGGGCCACATGACCTTGGCGCTGAAGCTCCACAAAAAACCTTTTCTTTCCAGTTACTCACCACAACTATTTCATTACAGACAGGAAAGGTAACACAGGGCTTTCCATCCTGTTACACAGGAGGAAATCAAAGCTGGAAGGGATTTTCCTGAGGTAGTCCCTCGACTGAGTGACAGCCTGGCTGATAACCGAAATCTTCCGCTTCCCTGCCCGGGACACATCAGGGTCACCCGGAGGCCAGGCTTCGTGAGCAACAGCTGAGTTACCGGGTGGACAAAGAGGACTGAATCTGGGATCCACCAAAACGGATCCCATAGCCAACTCTGCCAAAAGCTGGGCCCGCAGCCTCAACTGCCTGGCTTCCACGTGTCCTCGCTGACAAAATGAAGGGGCTGGATGGGGAACCCTTTGTAACTCGGGTATCCTGAAAGATCAGAATTTCATGTTGTCATCCTGTTAGACTGCTTCTGTGTATATGGATACAGGTGACTACATATCTATTCATTTGATACACTGATCTCTCTCCCTCTCCCCCTCTCTTGCTCTCCCCCTCTCCCTCCTCCCCCTCTCCCTCTCTCTCTCTCTCTCTCTCTCACACACACACACCTGTTATACTGATGGATCCAAATAAAATCACTTATTAAAGGACATGCTAAAGATTTTTTTTTTTTTAAATAAAAAGCACTTCCATCCACTATATACTAACCCCTGTCTATTCTACTTTCTCAGGTTTCAAACAGGAAATGGAGAAGAGGTCTCCTCCTGTAAGTGCTAAGTCGTCTGGCATCTTGGGTGGGGATGGGGGGGAGGAGACGAAGGGCAAGAACAAAGTCTAGGAATGGGGATGAGTTGGGAGCCCACACGGGGACCAGCCCTGTGCACTCGGCCTCATTCTGTCTTTCAGGGAACTTTCTGGGGAAGGCTATCACGGGGGAGAAGACGTGGAAGCACGGAGGGAACACGGTGAAGGACTGAAGCTGATCATCTAGGCCCAGAGCAGGTGCACTT